GTGTGTGTGTGTGTGTGTGTGTGTGTGTGTGTGTGTGTGTGTGTGTGTGTGTGTGTGTGTACTGTGTGTGTGTGTGTGTGTGTGTGTGTGTGTGTGTGTGTGTGTGTGTGTACTGTGTGTGTGTGTGTGTGTGTGTGTGTGTGTGTGTGTGTGTGTGTGTGTGTGTGTGTTTGGTGACAGTATTGTTCAGATATGTGTTTATTTTATTATTATTATTATTATTATTATTATTATTATTATTATTATTATTATTAGTATTATTATTTAACTTAAGTAAATAGATAGAGAAAATAGATATATAGATAGATACAGAGAGGCAATGAATAGTTCTGATATGTCTCAGGGCTACCACGACTACCTCTACTAACTCTCCTTCCTCTTCCTCCTATAGGGCTACCACGGGGCTACCTAGACTACCCCTACTAACTCTCCTTCCTCTTCCTCCTATAGGGCTACCACGGGGCTACCTAGACTACCTCTACTAACTCTCCTTCCTCTTCCTCCTATAGGGCTACCACGGGGCTACCTAGACTACCCCTACTAACTCTCCTTCCTCTTCCTCCTATAGGGCTACCACGGGGCTACCTAGACTACTTCTACTAACTGATATTGATATTGAAACAGTTTAGTCAGCCAGAACACAGATACAGAGTCGATAATAATTACTATATTAACATGGCTGACCTCTCCTGTAAGCACCTGATATATACTATACATTTATCTCAAGGAAATATTATGTAACATTTAGTAACATCTGGAATAGTACAATAACATGGTGGTAATAATCATAATGTTACCACTGTTATCACTTCAATATTTATTTATTTATTTATTTATAATTTATTTTACATTTATAATATAAGTATATACATATTTTACAGTGGTGTTGATATACATAAATATGATAAGGGAGGGAAGCAGTATAATATGAGTTGTATTAAAGTGGAACAAGAGGATAGAGTTGTCAGGATGATTTAAAGGAAGGGAGCGTAGTCTTTGATCGAATGGGTGGGGGGTAAATTGTTCCACACCTTCACACCATGATATATTTTTTTTTAAACTCTCCTTCCTCTTCTTTCCACAGGGCTATCGAGAGGCTATCAGGAGGACAAGAGGGACAACGAGTACTGGGACTATTACTACCAGGTGACAGGGGATGATCCGCCTACCTTCCTCGCTAGACCACAGACGTTTACCGTGGAAGTCGGCCAGTCTGTTATCATACCTTGTGACGTAGACAACCCAGGTACTGTACTCTCTCTCTCAGGTACAATGAGTGAGGTTCAGTATTATTAAATCAGTGAAGGGGAAGATTATAAACAAGGCTTGACAAGACTCATTAAGCCGATTTTAAAGTCATAAGCTGCTAGTCGTACCTGTCGGGGATTTTACCTGGGATTTAAGGATTTCAAGGGAGGGATTTATGGGGGATTAATGCGCCAAGAATGTTAGTGTTGCCGATTTTAAGCGAGGGATTTATTGGGGATCAATGGGCGAGTAATTTTAGTGTTGGTGATTTTAAGGGAGGGATTTATTGGGGATTAATGGGTTAGTAATGTAAATGTTGGCGATTTTATGAGAGGGATTTATTACTGGCACTGTAATCTCTCATAAATCCCTCCTTCAAAATCGGCAAAACTAAATTTATTGACACTGTAATCCCTCTACCCTAAATTTTTCAAAAATTACGTTACTGGTGTTGTAATCTCCCACAAATCCTTCCCTTATTCTCAGTTACATTTTTTCAGATTAGAGTGGATTAATCTTAGATACAGCTCTCAGATTTCAGATTACAGAGGATTAATCTCAGTTACAGCTTTAAAAGTTCGGATTACATGGGATTATATTGTATTCCGACCACTACAGTTATGTATACCGAGGGACATTACAGCGGATTTAAATATAAACCAGGTTTAAGGAGATTACATATTACAGACGATTACATAAGATTACAAAACAGCATCTAACACGCCAATAGAGTCTGACCTGTTACCTGATATATTGTGGTTATAACTGACTGGTTGACATAGTTGGTTGTGGTAGACTACATTACAGAGGGGGTGAGAGGGAGGGAGGGGAGGGCAGAAGATTTCAGATATCAAACGACGAGAAATTACAGACCAACAATACAGTAGTCTCTTATGATTGATGATTGTATTCCATTACAGAACAGAGTATTATGAAATTACAGGTATTACAGAATATGACATGTTAATAGATGTTGTATAATCTAGACGGTATTCATTTTCTGTAACCAACATTAAAAAAAAAACACAGAGGTTTTAATCAATTTTGGGGAAGTAAGTCTTAGGTGGACGTCGGACCCCTTGTTAAGTACCTCTTTCGTATTCCTCTTGTGTCGTAATAGGCGGCTAAAAGGTTACAAAAGGTGGTAAAGGCGTCGTAGCTCAGGTGGCCCCCTTGTTTCGAGCCATTAAGCTGGACCTGGGTGAGACTGGGATTGCATTGATCGATGGAGATACTACTGTAATTTGTGAGAGCTGTGAGTAAGGGGGGGGGTAGATCCTTGTCCGTATCTGAGTTTGTGGTCCTTAGAGAGGGGGGATCCTTGTCCTTTTCTGAGTTTATGGTCCTAGAGAGGGGGGGGTAGATCCTTGTCCTTATCTGACTTTGTGATCCTCAGGAGGGAAGAACAAGCTGATCATCAAGAAGCTGCCAGCCAACGGGGCCAGCGAGAAGCTTCTGTCAGTCGGGACGGACAAGGTGACGCCAGACCCGAGGATGACAGTAGACGGGTCGAGGCTCACCATCTCCCACACCCGCCCCCGTGACGCCGGCACCTTCCTCTGTCAGTTCGACCTGGAGCCGCCCTTACAGCTGAAACACACCCTGGACGTGCAGTACGCGCCCACCGTCAGATCCTTGGTGCCCCCCGAGCAGCGTGTAGCCAAGGGCAAGGGCGTCACCCTAGAGTGCACGGCACGGGGGAACCCAGAGCCCATCATCCGCTGGTCCCGTCAGGAAGGTCCTCTACCCTCGGGACAACGTAGTCAACAGGTCAGTTGTATTTCACATGTCCTGTATGTAAATCTTCATCAACAACAGTACAGTGTAAGTAAAGTAACTCACGTGTATTAATAGTGTTGTGACAGCGACGTCTTAGCCTCGGTGTGATACAAGCAGCACTACCACCACCAGCAGCAGCACCGGCATAGTTTAGGTCAACAGTACAGTAACTCCCAAGTGATAACAGCTGTGTAGCCTCCAACACACTGTCCTCACACTGCTCACTTCACGGCAGCTTCAGGGACACTCAACCCTACTGCAGGTAGACGTTACTAAACACCACCAACCTCTCAGACAGACACACATCATGCTAACCTCACACGTAATTAAAGAAGTTATCTGACCACACTGAAGCTCACAGTAAAGGAAGACAGCGCCAGGGCAGGTCAACGCCAGGGCAGGTCAACGCCAGGGCAGGTCAACGCCAGGGCAGGTCAACGCCAGGGCAGGTCAACGCCAGGGCAGTCAGCCAGGGCAGGTCAGCGCCAGGCAGCCAGGGCAGGTCAGTGCCAGGGCAGGTCAGGTCAACGCCAGGGCAGGTCAGCGCCAGGCGCCAAGCCAGGCAGGTCAGCGCCAGGGCAGGTCAACGCCAGGGCAGGTCAACGCCAGGGCAGGTCAGGGCAGGTCAGTGCCAGGGCAGGTCAGCGCCAGGGCAGGTCAGCGCCAGGGCAGGTCAACGCCAGGGCAGGTCAGTGCCAGGCAGGCCAACGCCAGGGCAGGTCAACGCCAGGGCAGGCCAACGCCAGGGCAGGCCAGGCCAGGCCAGCGCCAGGGCAGGTCAGCGCCAGGGCAGGCGCCACAGGCAGTCAGCGCCAGGGCAAGCGCCAGGGCAGGTGCCAGGGCAGGTCAGCGCCAGGGCAGGGCCAGGGCAACGCCAGGGCAGGTCAACGCCAGGGCAGGTCAGTGCCAGGGCAGGTCAGCGCCAGGGCAGGTCAGCGCCAGGCAGGTCAGCGCCAGGGCAGGTCAACGCCAGGCAGGCAGCGCCAGGGCAGGTCAACGCCAGGGCAGGTCAGGGCAGGTCAGGGCAGGTCAGTGCCAGGGCAGGTCAGCTCCAGGACAGGTCAGTGCCAGGGGCAGGTCAGTCAGGTGCCAGGCAGGTGCCAGGGCAGGTCAACGCCAGGGCAGGTCAGGTGCAGGTCAACGCCAGGCAGGTCAACGCCAGGGCAGGTCAGCGCCAGGGCAGGTCAACGCCAGGCAGGTCAGCTCCAGGCAGGTCAACGCCAGGGCAGGTCAACGCCAGGGCAGGGCAGGTAGGTCAACGTCAACGCCAGGGCAGGTCAACGCCAGGGCAGGTCAGCGCCAGGGCAGGCGCCAGGGCAGGTCAACGCCAGGGCAGGTCAACGCCAGGGCAGGTCAGCTCCAGGGCAGGTCAGTGCCAGGGCAGGTCAGTGCCAGGGCAGGTCAGTGCCAGAACAGGTCAGCTCCAGGACAGGTCAGCGCCTCACAGACCTCAAGACCCACAAACGTTTGATCTCCACCTGACCGGAAGAGGGTAGCGGCTGACCCTCCATTAAGCGATGTAAAGGGAGAGAAAACTTTCCTGGAGAGCAGAGCGACACGACCAGCCCACACAGACCCCACTCAAGGGCATCCAGGCACGCAGACCCTCACTCAAGGGCATCCAGGCACACAGACCCTCACTCAAGGGCAGTCAGTCACACAGACACTCAAGGGCTGCGAGAAACACACACACACACTCACTCAAGGGCAACCAGGCACACAGACACTCACTCAAGGGCAGCCACACACACACACACACACACACACACACACACACACACACTAAAGGGCTGACTTACCTCGATGGGCACCACACACTCACTGCACCATAACAACAACAGAATGAACTGACTCACCAACTAATATTGACCATTCTCTTTCCTCACCTTCAGAACCTACCGTAGGAAGCGTCTCAATACACTGTCAGATTATATAACAGAATCACTATACAAATTCACTTAAAAAGATCCTACAAAACAAACTGATTTATATGTATTTCTGACTGTTAAAACGTCATATCCAGTTACCTGTATTAAGTTCTACAGTCTATTCAACTCACACAGTCATTACACAGTTCCTATTAATTCACAATCATTACACAGTTCCTTTAATTCCGAAGACGTGAGTTTTTGTCCTCTGTCCCAGGTGTCAGAAGTGAACCAAAAATCTCAACAGGTTAATGTACAAGTGTTTGGCGAAATTGTTTCTTGACCTTTGAGTAAAAAAAAAAATAGTCGGGTTTTTTTTATTTTCTTGGAATTCTTGCCGGCGGTTCATTCAACATGCTAATTCAATTTCTGAGATCAAAAAAAGTTACACTTCTTGTAATTAGTTTTGCTAATTACTTTTTTTTTATTGATACTTTTTGTCTCCAGAATCATAGACACACAACAGTTTATGATTTATCTATATATATTGCTGTTATGTCACCTGAAGATTAACCCTCCAACTTATTTCAGCTTAGGATTAATCTAAATACCCTAACCTAACCTAACCTAACCTAACCTAACCTAACCTACCCTAACCTACCCTAACCTAACCTAACCTAACCTAACCTACCCTAACCTAACCTAACCTAACCTAACCTAACCTAACCTAACCTAACCTAACCTACCCTAACCTAACCTAACCTACCCTAACCTAACCTAACCTAACCTAACCTACCCTAACCTAACCTACCCTAACCTAACAACATCACCTGTGAACGCACCTGCCTCACCAACCCAGGTGTAAATAAAACATTAATTAAACAACACCTAATTAACCTGGTCACCTTCACCTGGTAGTGTAATTAATAGACACAAATACAGGTGTTATGTTATGAAAATAGACACTGTGATGTTATGGCAATACGCGGGTAATGACGTGTGAATAGTAGATGAGTAATAGAACCCAATAGAACCCGATAGAACCCGATAGAACCCAATAGACTTCGGGTCAGGTCAATTTATAAGGTTATTTATTTCGAGAGAGTGAAGATAGAAAGAGGAAATAGAGATAAACGTGTATCTTTCCTCTCTTTCTCTTTCTCTCTTTCACTCACTCACTCTCATCCCTCTCCCTCGCTCACACACCCTCTCACTCACCTCTCACTCACCTCAGGGACACAGGCTAACACTGGACGCCGTGGACAGACACATGGAAGGGACGTATCTGTGTACGGCTGACAACGGCATCGGTGAGCCCGCGTCAGCAGCCATGGCCCTGACGGTGGAGTACCCGCCTGAGATCACTACTGAGAAGGTAGGTACTGTAGGTCTCCCAGGTCCACCTACTGCAGGAGTTAGTTGAGTCACTTAGGTAGGAGTTAGTTAAGTCACTTATTTACTTGTATGAGTTAGTTAAGTCACTTGCATTAATAGGAGTTAGTTAAATGTTCCAATGTGTTGTATAAGTTAGTTAGTTAGTTAGTTAGTTAGGAAAGTCCAAGTTTTAATTGGCGTTTGTAATCTTATTCTTGTGTTTCTTTATTTTGTTTCCGCTTTTCTCTTCTTTCTCCGCTTCTTCTTCTTCTTCTTCTTCTTCTTCTTCTTCTTCTTCTTCTTCTTCCACCTGTAACACTTACCATATCATTACCTGCAGGACATCGTCAGGACAGGTGAGGGTGACCAGGTAGAACTCGTGTGTGTGGTGCATGGTCTTCCTCCTCCTGACGTTGTGTGGACGAGAGACGGCCGCCCACTACCCGACACCATCATGGACACCAAACTCCACCTGCCGCAGCAACCAGGAGGACGCGCCCACGCCTCCTACGACGCCCACGTCAGCCAGACCCATTTCTCCCACCGCCACACCCTCACTATCAGCCACGTCACGGAAAAGGACTTCGGGGCGTATGTGTGTATCGCTGAGAACGCCCACGGACAGAAGAGCGCTGTTATACAGATGACAGGTGAGGTGTTCTGGGGTTGCTTGTCACACCTGGATATTGGTTATGACAGGTGTGTGGTGGGGGGAGGGGGGTTGTTGACATCTGTGTATTGGTTGGTGACAAATGTGACTCTTATGTAGTGTGTAAATCTCTCTCTCTCTCTCTCTCTCTCTCTCTCTCTCTCTCACGGTTCCTCTCTCGCTCCTCCAGGCCTCCCGAAGCCTCCTGTAGTGACCAGTAGCCCCAACGGAGGTGAGAGCAGCAGGTACACCCTCACCTGGGAGACAGAGAGCTACTACCCAATCACCGAGTTCCTCATCAAGTACCGGAGGACTCACCTGGGGGCGTGGCAAGTGAGTACCTGGGAGAGCCTTCACACTTTGACCTTGTTTGACTTTGCGTAACGTAGTATAAGCTAACTTGACCTTAGTTAACCTCGCATAACGTAGTTTGATCTAACTTAACCAAACGTAATTTATCTTAGCTTTAAGGTAGTGTAAGTTAACGTGAATTAACCTAACCTAATTTAACGTAATCTAACTATACCTGACTTAACCACCTTCACTTTGCCCAGCTGTTAAGTTAGGTACCCACTAACATCTGGGTGGACTATGGGTGCCCCGGGCGGGAGTGAACGACAGTAGTGGAGAGTTCTGTTTACTTGGACGTGTTGTAACCGACCAGTTTACCCGTCTCCTGACTGACTGACTGACTGACTGACTTGATTACTTCACCGTGTACATCCGAGTGTTAACAAGAGCGCCACGTGTACACAGAGGAACCATACGGTGGTGATGGCGGGGTCGTGGGAGAACGTGTCGAGGGCGGTGGGGTCTGATGAGGCGGTGGTGTCGAAGGAGACTCACCACCACGCCATGGTCTACACGCTGGAGGGGCTGCAGGTGGCCACGGACTACGTCGCTGTCGTCAGGGTGAGAAACAAGTACGGGTGGTCGGCGGAGTCTAACAACTTCTCCTTCTCTACTAAGAAAGGTGAGACTCTGGTGGGTGGTTAAGAGTCTTAGTTAGAATTTAGTTTCCAATAAAGAACTTGAGAGAACGTCATTAGAATATCAGTGTCTCAACAATCATTTTCTGATGCTTTTATTACCATCACAATAAGTTAGCTTTAAAAGGAGGAAGAATACTTGGATTTGCATAGTGTTTTGTGTGTGTGTGTGTGTGTGTGTGTGTGTGTGTGTGTGTGTGTGTGTGTGTGACATGATCAATAGGGAAAAACTGTTGCCTTACGTATTTTCAATTTCAGCCATGGCGGTCCTTCAGTCCACCAGCGGGGAGAGCGGTCAGACCGGCACCTCTGGCTTCATCCTCCTGCTGGTGCTGCCGCTGTCTCTGACCGTCATGTAGGACAGCAGCCACCACGTATGACAAACAGGACCTCCAGTCACAGTCCGCCACAAGCGAGCGGCGACAGTGACCCGCCCGACACAGGAACTTGGCCAAGTAGCTACCGCGATGCCCAATGGTGGCGGCGCTGTGATGCGGTACTGCGTCTGGAGATAACGACAATGTCACAACGCGGGAGACAGTGGCCGCTGTACCTGCTGTGGCCGGAGGGGGGATGTGGGGTACTGATGTTGGCGCCAGAGAGAGAGTGTGTGTGAGGGACATCTGAAAGTATCTAGACATGCACTTTTCATGGGCTATTGCTATCCATGCGAGGCAATCTTACCAGAGCCAGCTTTCTGCAAGTGCTTGACTGCCTCAGATGCAGCAGGAGAAGCTTGTGGCGGAAATGTTTGCAGCAGAAGCCGCTTACGATAGACGTCACTCTCAGCAAAAGAGGCTTGCCGCCATTACCAGCCTGCAGCCGCGGCCACTTGCGGCACACCTGTCCAGTCCAGTTTTTATTTAAAAACTTGTGTGATAATGTCCATTTCATGACTTCATTAATGTAGATTTATCTGGTAGTCCAGAGGTGCAGTAGTTTGTTATTGCTGTCGCCTTTTTTTAATACGTGAAGTGTGTTGTCTGTTTCTACTGAGACAGAATACTACAAGTCTTAGGACCTGGACCAATAGTGTTCACCCGCTCCGGTGAACACTCCCTCGCGTGCACATTTGTCCTTGGTGTGCATGTGTGTAGAGCTGTCACTAGTGTACACATGTGAACAGCTGGCACTAAGTACAAACAGTGCACAGTTGTCTTTAGTATGCATCTATGAACAGATGTCACAAGTGTCTCTGTGTGTCAGTACAGTAGTGTGTTATAACTAGGCTGCGTCTGTTTACCTACCAAGAGTTAAGTATCACTCACCGTGACGACGGGGACCCTTCAGTCTCCCGCCAAGAACAAGTTAACACGAGAGACACGCCCTCAGTGTACTGTTGAATTTTGCTACATTTAATGCGCTTCTCTCCGCACCACGACCTTCCTAAGCTTCACGACTGCGCCAGATGCCAAAACACCTTCATGTCATGGCGAGCGTCTCATTGTAATATAAGAATAATATAGAATTTCAGTGATTTACATTATACCACAAGCAATAGGGCTGTTAAGTGTGTGTGTGTGTGTGTGTGTGTGTGTGCGTGTGTGTGATCATGCTGGTCGAAAACCAAACCTTCATTTCTTATCACTACGTCACAAACTATGACCAATAACGATCTAATATTAAATTCATAGAAGCTAAACCAAACACCAACAGGACAATGGTTTAATTTACCATCGATTGGGATAATTTACCTTCAACCTAGCAAGCTACAACACCGCCACCTTGAATACAACTAAAACAGTATCCAAGAAACAACATTCTCGCTGCGTCACTTGTCAATACATCCCGGTAAAACAAGTTAGAGAGGAGTTAAGAAACTTCTCCTCCCCCCAACAACAACTACGGGAGATTAGTGAGGTCTCTTCCCGCTCCATCCCTGTGTGTACTTGGACCCCAAACTCTGGCTAGTAAGTCTGACCATCATAAATAATATCACTAGATGCTTTTTTTTTTTTATCTTGGTTAGAGTATGTGGTCCCATCTCTACCGTAGACACCAGAAAGATGTCAGGGGTGTGTGTGTGTGTGTGTGTGTGTGTGTGTGTGTGTGTGTGTGTGTGTGTGTGTGTGTGTGTGTGTGTGTGTGTGTGTGTGTGTATGTGTGTGTGTGTCGGTGTGTGTGTGTGAGTAGATACAGTGTCACAAAGTTTATTTAAAATTGGGGATGACCTGAAGATTAGTTCCTCTGACTCATCTCACCTTAAGATTAACTACTAACGTTAACTTAACCTAATTCTAACCTAACTTAACCTCACTTAACCTAAATCTAACCTAACCTAATATAACCTATGCTAAATCTAACCTAATCTAACTTAGCATGACGTAATTTGACCTAACCTAACCTAACCCAGGCAACTTCAAGGTGTTTAATCAGCAGGTGAAATAAGCTAAGGGTGTCTAATCTTCAGGTGTCTACACGTATAGGTTCAGGTGAGGCAATATATATATAACATGTATATAATGTAATCTAAGAACTTAAAGAAAATGTTGTCAAAATATTAAGTTGGAGAATTTATTATTATTATTATTATTATTATTATTATTATTATTATTAATATTATTATTATTATTATTATTATTATTATTATTATTATTATTATTATTATTATTATACGAGGATATACATTTGAAAGCAATACAATCCATGAAAGAAATTAAAGACGAATTTTTTTTTTTTATATATATAAGAACGATTCAAATTTTCCACTTTACGAGGAAAAAACAATTGATCTGGTAACATTGTCTATATAAGATAAGAATAGGAAAATAAACATATCTCATTGAAGAGAAATCCATCCCATCTATCTGCACCAAACCCACACACCATTGAAAAAGGCCGTTGGAGCATCTTATTAAAAAACGTTAACAACACTATTTAAAACTTGTATATAAAGTAAAATAAAATAAAAATACGAAACTTATTCTACTTCTTTAAAAAGTTGTCTTGTAGAAATCAACTTCTAGTGACCGGTGTTTCATAGTTTAAGCGCCCCGAGTCATCAACAGCAACAAAGAAAATGTATTCTCATCAACGCGATTATGGGGTAACTATGATATATTATACTTAATCCATATTTTAATCCAGATTGTGTTATTCAAAAGCACTGATTAATTGATGTGTCATATGGAAGCTTCTCTGCCTTTGGTGCGCCACAAGTGTAGGTAATAAGATTAAATTTAATGAAAGAGACAGAATGAGATTAATCTGGAAGAGTCAAGATGAAACTCGGACCTGAATTATTATATTTAAACCCATAGATTTGGTTAGGTTAGTTTATTTTTAGGTTTGGTTAGGTTAGGTTTTGTTATTCGTAGGTTAGGTTAGTTTATTTTTAGGTTTGGTTAGGTTAGGTTTTGTTATTCGTAGGTTAGGTTAGTTTATTTTCAGGTTTGGCTAGGTTAGGTTTTGTTATTCGTAGGTTAGGTTAGTTTATTTTCAGGTTTGGTTAGGTTAGGTTTTGTTATTCGTAGGTTACATTAGATGATATTTCAGGTCCCTCTTCTAACAGGGAAACATTGTGTAAACTTAAGGTGTTACCAGACCAGATTCTCTTCCTTATTATCACTGTGCCATTTGTAAACGTGGATTAGACTTGCATACACAGCGGATATTTTTGTATGGGTGTAGAGCCTAACGCAAGAGGGTGCACGAGGGTGGTCTAGTCCGTAGCTTTTTATCCAACGATGGTAGTAGTTTCTTCGGAGTTCTCTTAGAATTAGTTTGATGCCGGTGGACCAACACACATACATTACACCTGCCTGAGACCCCTTGGTTGTGGAGACTTAAAGACGTAACTAGAACCAAATTGTCAGGGTTAGTTTTGGCTATGGCGTCACCCGGCATAAAACCTAACCTAACCTAACCAATCTCGAGTAGACAATCTAACCCAGAGAAAAACCCTGAACGTAACTTGACCAATAATACGTGTGGGTTTGCAATAATTATTTCTTATAGATTATATTTTCCCTAATTTGGACATAATGGTGTATGGTCTTTGTTAGGTTAGGTTGGGTGTGGTTGGTTAGCCTCCGTGTTTATGATGTTTTCAGTAAATATCCTCTAAAAACTGACTTGTTATGGCTGCTGGAGTTCTCTTTGAAGCGTGACGCCGTGTTGCCTGACGTGGTCCTGACGGCTGTTCCTCACCCTTACAGTACAGTACAGCTGAAATTAATCCCGAATTTTCTGAGATAATTTTTAAATCTTTTGAATGGATCAGTTCATAACACGCGACATAGCATTGTGTAATTGTGAACCGAAACCAAAGAAAAGGCTTTTTAATTATCTGATAAATGGAATTCAGTTCTTATTGAATTCCCACGCCGTAAAATGTTAAATTATATGTCTTCACAACAGGTGGCAGGCAGGTTGGTGACGTCACCGTATAAGGCTAGGTTCTTCGTGTTACGCAGGCTTTATATATTAAATATTCCAATGTTACCATTAATTTGTATATACCTGTATGATATGTTTTATCAATAAAAAACTGAAGAATATTGTGTTACTCTTGTCCTGGGGTTAAAGGTAGGATCGAACCCACGTCTTCCTGTTTGAGAGATGAACAAGGACGCCATTATGTCATTAATTAATAGTAATAGTTTAACCACAATAGTAAATAAGCTATTATCGCCCTTAAACATGAAAAATATATAAGGCTAATAATGACATGTTGGAATCAGCAGTTACCTCTCACTCCGACAGATCAGGGTTCGATGCCCCCTTGACGTAGTTATATTTCCAAACTCTTAGGTATATACACTATACTAGGTAGACTAAATAATACACGTATGGTTCTGAACAGTAGTTTAGGCCTATAAAAGACATTTCGACTCATTGATTACTGCAGACAAAACAGTTTTTTTTTCCGCCACACTTCTATCAATTAACGAATTAATTAATCATCAATCAAGAGTAGTGAAGTTCTTTTACTGCATTAACTAAATCCCCGCCAGTCAGGGGAAAAAAGTAACATGTATTATTCATCGGGGGGAAAAAAGTATAAATTCCCACTGTCACATTCTAATATTTTTATCTCGATTTTTTAAGTGAATTTTTCAGATTTTTATATTTCATTTGTTTTTCTTTTGTTCTTTTTCAATGGTTTTATTCTATTGTCAATTTGGTGCTTTTTTATCCATTCGTCTTTAGTTTTTTTTTATATCTAATATTTTATGGCTGAAATGTTCCATATTTTTGTCAGTTTTTTTATGTTAAAGAAATAATAAAAAAATTGTCCTGGTTTTTTATTACGATGATTTTTTTTCCTTTTGTTTATTTGTTTACTTAAATTTATTATTCTTTATTTACTTATTTGTTTTAGAAGAACATAGAGGAACAGGAGAAAGAGGAGGAACCAGAGCCAACACTCTCCACCAGCACCACCAACACTCTCCACCAGCACCACCAACACTCTCCACCAGCAGCAACAGCAGCCTATTGACAAGCGGCTTCCTTAAGTGAGTTAACACGCGAGGTCAAAACTGTTCAGCGGAAGTTAACCAACAACTTCAGACTTCATCTCCCTGAGGCACCTACCCCTGACGACACAAGTTAATCCAGCACCAACAACGCCATCTTAACTATTTCCTCAAGTATGTCTACACCTATTAAGTGATATCCAAACTTGGGATCATTTGTTATTATTATCATTACACAGGTAAGGTCTTTTAAGTGCTTAATAAAGTCCACTAAAATTCAACAACAACAAAATTATGAGATATTATATAAGAGTAGAAAGCTTGTGTGTTAGTGTTGTGATGCGACACCAGCTCTCTCCCGCCCTCTGTGGGGAAAAAGATGGAACTATGGATCAAACGCCATCTATGGGTATGAATCTGAACTATGGATCAAACGCCATCTATGGGTATGCGTCTGAACTATGGCTGGAGACAGGTTATATAAACAGTACAGATGCACGTGAGAGACAGACGCACAGAACCAGACAGTTATATTGAGAGACAGACAAAGATACGGTGACGTAGCCAGTCTCCAGCAGTGAGGAAGGTCATAACAAGAGTGAGGGAGGAAGTAGTGGTGAGAGACATCTGATTAGTTAAGTGTTAATGTTGTTAGCATATTAAGGCGGCCCGACGAACTGCGACTGTGGTGGTGGTGTGGTGTGGTGGTGATGATGGTGCGGTGGTGGTGAGGGACGTGTGGTGATGGTGGTGATGATGGTGCGGTGGTGATGGCGTACGTGTGGTAATGGTAGGATGATGGTGTGGTGGTGGTGGTGAGGACGTGGTGATGGTGGTGATGATGGTGCGGCAGATGGCGCAGCGTGGCAATGGTGGTGATGATGGTGCGGTGGTGGTGAGGGACGTGTGGTGATGGTGGCGTGTAGTAATTATGGTAATGGTGGTGAAATAAGCGTCTGGTAGTGGTGGTAATTGTGGTAGTACTGGTAGTTATTGTATTAGTTGGGTAGCTTCCGATACTCATAATTGGTCTGTACACTTATTGCAGTGAACACACACACACACACACACACACATACATACATATATACACACACACACACACACATACATATACACTCTACATACCTATATACATATATACATACACAAACATACATACATACATACACACACACACACACACATACACACACACACACACACACACACACATACATACACACACACACACACACACACACACACACACACACACACACATTATGATAATCCAGAATAATTAGTGTCATCTCAGGTAGATTTTTAAGAATTAGAAGAAGTTTTACGTTCTTATTGAACTGTGAAGGCGACTGGAGGAGACAGACAGACAGACAGACAGACACAGACGGACAGACAGAGAGAGACAGAGAAAGAGAGATGAATATATAGAGTAAGACAGAGTTCACAGTAGAGGATAGAGGATATAAGAATTGAAAGATAAAGAGTGAGAGTGAGAGAGAGAAAGAGAGAGAGAGAACACCCCCTCCCCCCACCACACCGGAAGATTAGCGAGGCCTCCCACACACCCGCTCCAAGAATTGCCCCCAAAGCTAACTTTTTTCCCCGATGGATTTTGAGAATGAAAAGTAATCCGCTAGAGTGGGGAGACTCCTGCCTTTCACGTCATCTTT